GGGGGTGGGGTGTTTTTATGGGCTCAGCCCTCTCGGACAAGCAGGGAATCTTAAGCAGCAGGTTTGCTCTATCTACTCTATGCTGATGATGATTTACAATAATGAGCCAACATAATTATTATACATGAATTATTTATACAGAGGAAATATATGACAGTTTTGATAAGATATTGCATTAAAGTCACAATCAGAAGCTTACCGGGCGCCTTTTATGCCACCAAATCATCCTGGATATTGATGTAACGTTTTTCTTTCTTTCTTTCTTTTGCTTTGTTTTGATTGTTTTTGTTCTAATTTATACATCTCAGAACCACGCTCTTAGCTGTGTGAAAGCACAATGACATCCACATTTTGAGTTGCTTGAGACAATAATGGTCTATATGAACGGCTCCAGGGACACGTAGTCTTTTCAAGAGGAGAAGAAAAGTCCAAACTCTACCAAGTATCCTATTGTTTTTTTCTTTCTTTCTTCTTCCTCTTATTTGGATGGTCGTTCAACCCATTGAAGTTCCACTCGCTGAAAGGAGCCGGTGGATGCATGACTACTGTCCCGCGCAACGCTTTTTATTCCCAGACAAAACTCAGTCTTTTCATAGCTCAACCTTAAACTTTGAATCATGCCTCTTCCTCTGTATTATTTAACGGACTGTTGTTTAACTTTACTGTAGTAAGTCTTCCTCTGCCTGAGTCCAGCCTGCAGTGTTTTTACTTCACCTGTAGTGTGCTTTTTTCTAGTGCTGGTACTGTCTAATCGAGGCTGAGCTGGTGGCAGGGAAAGACTTATTGGATAAAAGGGCATTTGCTTTCATTTCTGTATGATATGAACGGAGAAAAAAGTCTTTTAAAGGGAGCTTTACTAAAACTCCACCTTCCCATGCTACTTTGTTTCACCCTTCCCTTAACCTAAGACCTCACATGATTTAAAAATGCAAAGTTGTACAAACTGTAAATAGAGTATATGCATTAGGGGACAGTATCTCTTTATCCACCCCCTTTGTAATCAATAAAGTGAAAAGTGCTGAAAAAAATTGGAAAAAAAAGAACCACTGGATATCATTTTAACAAAGATAAAGCTGTACATAAATATAAATATATGTAAAATGGCAAACTAATATCTTTATGTATATGAACCAGAGTGTTTTGCATTTACCTGTTTTTCTATTGGTGTTTTTTGCTATAAGCTTTCAGAGACAAGTTTGTCGAAAAATAGGCATAAGGAAAATGTCCGGGTGGGCCGGCTCGGTGCCGAGGAGAAGCCGAGGCCACCACCGGACTGTTTGGATTTTCTGTGGAGAGTCGTTTATTAGACATAAAGATCACTTCTTGCATAAAGCAGTACAATGGTGCATAGCATTTGTATTTATGTAATATTGTTTGTTTATTTTTTCATTTTATTTATGCTACTGCTTGTGGATTACCAAAACGTGTCCCTGAATCAGTCACAATTGGATTACTATAGTCTTGAATGGAAAACCTTGACTTCCCCAGGATATTGTTAGTGGTTTGCTTTTTAAAACTATCTTCCCTATAGAAGTGAATGTGTTGGTAAACCTTGTGAAATGGTTACTTGGCCTAATGTATGTTATGATGTAATACTCAAAGTTAATCCCATACTTAACCTGGTAATGAATTGCACTCTCATAGTATAACAGAGAACTTCTCTAAAGTGGTAGATATTGATCAAGTATCCGAAACAGTGATTAAATATATATGTATACACACATATATATATATATATATAAATATTTTATTTTTTTGTTGGTATGTTTCTATTTCAAGGGAAGACCATGACCAGACATTAAGGCGCTCACTGGATTTTTGCCTAAATAATTTTTAACCTCTCTGAATCTTAATTTAAGTTCTCTGCATATCCTATAATTTAATAAAAGTTGCTCAAATTGAAGGTTTTTTTTAACCTCACCTTTTTAAAAAGATGTTGCATCTGTACAGCAGAGAAACTTTTAGGGAATATGAATAAATATAATGATCATTTTTATTGTATGTGGCATGTTTTGTATGGATATTCTTTGGAATTGTACATATTTTTTTCAGAACACCAGAGGTTGCATCTCTTTATATACTGGTTTCCCCACTCCCTGCCCCCCCCCCCCCCATCTTCTTTCTTTGTCTGCTTTTGTTTCTTGGAAAGGAAAATAAAATGCATTTTAAATATGCTGCTTGTTTTGTGTTGCTGAACAAACTTCAATTAACAGCTGTGTACATTTGTCCTGAAGGGGGAAAATAGATGAATCCTTTAATGATGGTTGATCAGTGCAGCACAAAAACTCTTTATTTCCATTGGCCTGATCTCTTAACTGCTGTTGCCCAAGGCAAAAGCCATCAGAGCTACTTTGAATAAAAAAGGTAGAACATTTAGACTTGTAATGATGCGCAATTATATGCAGAGCAGATTTGTCCCTCATCTTTGTTTTAAAACACATAGAAAAAAAAAAGAGAGCCCAGTCACTATTGTTGTACTGACCCAGTTAGAGGTTAAAGCTGTGGCAGCACAGGGAGAGGATTTATTTTGCTCAGACTCTTCTCTTATTTAGTGCTTATGTACAAAGCTTACATACCCCAAAAGGGGTTCTTAAATCTTCTCTCTGGACCCCTTTGAGGACTACTTAATCAGTTCAGCATCTGGATGTACAGAGACTATGTTTAAATAATTCTCAAACGGGCTTGTTGGGTATGTGACTGATGCTTTTCAGCTTCCTGTTGTCCTCCTGTAGGCGTGTCGAGAAGTTCAGAACTAGAAACTTCTAAATGACAGAAGCACCTTCTCGCTGCCCAACAGGCAGCAGAACAGACAAGGAGTGGACCTGGGTCCTGAAACCTGAAGATAAATCCGTGATCACTTCGTTTCCCAGTTCTGGCCTTTGGACCAGCAAAGCCTTGTTGTTCCTACAACCTGTCCAACCCGTCAAAAAAGATAGTTTTGACAGGTTCGATGAGACGGAAACCTTGAGAGCATCTTCAATGAGAGACGATTGAAACCGCGGGTAAGAAAAAGAGGAATTTATTGTATATCACCTATATACACTTTTCAACTAAAATCGGAAAAGATCTGCACAATATTATCTTTGAAGTCATGAAGTGTTACCCATGGCAACAATCCAAACATGGACAGGAGTGTTTGACAGTTTTGGTTCAATGGACAGCAGTCTCCCACCTCCCTCCCCTCCCCTCCCCTACTTCCGCTACACTCTGCTCGCTGAACTTCAGCCATGTCGACAGTAGCAGCAACATTTCAGGGGTACACAGCCAATGACCCGCACGTGAACACGAACAAAGAAAATTCAAATAAAGGGAAATCGACTTGCAGGATGTTGGAAAAAAACAAAAACAAAAACAAAACAAAACAAAAAAGCCTTAAGTTCATCTACCCAGTGTTCGAGACAGCATGCAAACCAGGAGCCGAACATGACATGAGCGGGGGGGGG